CTTGCTGATGAAGGATAGCCAGAATGTCTATTAGGTACTGTAGCTGTGCTTTTAGTGTCGGCTGATGTGCAGATGTAAACATTATTGTTTGCTGATCTGCATTTTGCAAAAATTGTGAGCTGTTGATATTTGTACCTCACATTGCTGTTAAAAGCACAAGAGCAGGCCTGATTGGTTTTATTTGTTCTTGTTCAGCAGCCAATTCTAGGCCAGTTGCTCTGAATCATTTATTAGTGACTGCTCTTTATGCAAATGTTAAACATCTTCTGCCATCACAATTTCTCTTGCTTTTAATAGCTTCAGGCATTAACTCAACAGGTGTGATTACTTACCACTGAATTTTAAATGCAGTGGGGAGATTACCTGTCGAATCTCTGCCTGTCATGCAACTGTTAATGGCACAGAACATTGTTGTTGTTGTGCGCCTTTAAGCTAGGTTTCCGACTTATGGCGACCCTAAGGTGAACTTATCACAGGATTTTCTTATCAAGATTTGTTCAGGGGTTGTGGGGTTTTTTGCCACTCTCAAAGATAACTGACCAGCTGTTGTTTATGATCTGAAATCCCCAGCAAAACACTCATGGGCACCACTGCTCTTATGAAGCCATGTTGAGGAATCTGTTAGGCTAATGACATTCCCCCATCCCCTGTACAAATGAGTTGTATACTTCAGGGAAAGATTATACTGCTGAAAAATAGCTGGAACTAGGGGGAGGTCCTCATACACAGAAAAAGATGTAGAGGTATGAACACTTCCTATATTTTGTGACTGGCCATATCCACACAGCAGCCATTTTGTATTCAACATTCATATGCCTAAATCCTATTGTTAGAGTAGAGCCATTGAAGTAATTGCATTTACCTATGTCTTGACTGATCACTCAGCAATTGATTTAATGGGCCTATCCTAATTGGGGCTAACCAGCACAATGCTTTTTTTTTTTTAATGCCACTCTTTCTATAAGATGGGGTACCCAACTTTACATGGTCATGTTTTCTGGGCGTAAAAAAAGATAAATGGAGATTTCTAAATCTTATGTTGTGCTTTTTCACTGACTTTCCACCCATTTCAATCTCTGATATTGTGCTAGAATCAACCCAGATGCTGAAGTGAGTTCAGACATGATTATTCCAGAATAACCAGAGTGATGTGATTTCAAAATTATGTCTCATGGTACCATTTCTGTTTGCACAGAAGGCTGCACAGGGTGTACATTATTAGCTTGGAATTAGAATAGCTGACTAGAAAGCACAGTTAATTATGCAGTTCAGAAGATACATATAACTATGCCACTTCTTAACTTAGATACTCTAGGTTTATATGTGCAGTACTCTGTCATACACAGTTAAATGAGCTTCAGGTTATACTTGCACATGACTGTACAACAAACTTCATATTAGGAAGTTTAGAGCTGATTCTTTTCTTTCCAGTTTTACATAATGCCTCTTGTGAGGACTGTCTCTGGCCAGTAGTAAGTTTTAGAATAGGTATTTACAGAGTGGTCTCATGTTCTAAGACGATTAATTCATATTTTATTTCTTTTATTTAGAGTATTTATACCCCTCCCTCCAACCAGAAAGGCTCCCAGTGTGGCTTACAGATTTTTAATATGACAATTCCCTGCCCTCAGGCTTACAATCTAATATATATCTTCATTTAGGAGAGATAATATTTCTTGCCAAATATATTAATTAAGGCTGTGCTCCTTAAAAAATTAGTTGGGGATAAGGTCCATTGAATGGGATAGGACTTACTACTGAGTAGAGTTGTGTAGGATTGTACTGTCAGTCTCAATAATATTCCAATACATAATGAAGGTGCACCATCGATCAAGTAATAACTGTCCAGCCTCAGTAATATTATATTACATAATGAAGGTTCACCATTGATCAAGTAATAACAGTCCAAATTGATCTTTGAATTTCCCTTAAACGTTTGAAGAAGTTAACTTTTATTTGCCTTTTCATATTTACAGAACTTATTCACCTGTTATCAGCAATGGTTGTGTTTGTCCATACCGATAAGCTAGGAATCCTGGTGAATGAGGGCAATCTGTATGTTGTCAGTTGATTTTTCCTACTTAAGGAATTGATTAAAAAACCCACACATCAGTAACTTAGTGCTGAGTTTGAACCTAGAGATATGGTCTATTGCAGCCAGACCAGCCAGGGTTGGTAACCCAGCACTAAACCAGGCTTTGTGGCTGATGAATCCTGCTTGTTTGGGACATGCAAACTAAGTTTATTTCCTTGTTTATATCAGTTCGACCCTGTTGCAAAGCTTGAAGGGCTCACAGAGTATAAAAGGCTTTAGTATAAATAAAAAAAGACAAAGACAGTCCCTGCCCTCAAGCTTATAACCTCAAAAAGACAAAACGCCAAACAAAGAGGGCTAAGGGAGGTTGGAAGAACAAAAATGCTCATTATGAATTTCCTCAGCCTGGTGGATGACAGATGGGGAGAGGTAAAGTGTGGGGGAGCTGACTTCTCTGCAGGGCTGATGGTGGCCCTACTAATGTACCTAAATTCTGTAAAGTTAAGCTCCTCATTTCTTCTTTATTTACCCACTTGTATGACTGGGGGCTTGTCTACATGGAAAAATTATACACACCCCTGGGTTTGCTGCATCCTGTTTACACAGTGCAGGGTGAAATCCTTGAATTGGGTGCAGACTGTCTTCATGACACCCACACCCAATTCAGGGTGTTCTCACTACCTACATTTAAATAACTCACTTTTTGCTGTGGGTTTTCAACTCTCTTCACATTTACAGTCCCTTGCAAGCTACCTGGCACCACTGTTGCAGATGTGAGTTGCTTGGAGGTCAATAACATGGTTGGGTGCCCTGTTCTGATCTCAGCAGCAGTGCCGGGTGACAAACAGGGATTGCACGGCAAGGTAGCTGCCCATCATTCGCTGCAAGAGCTGAAAACCCACAGCAAAAGAGATAAGGTAGGGGTGATTTTGGGACCAGAATACTCTGGCGGCACCCAGAGTGAAGTGAAGACGGGGCCTGGGTGCACAGGTTGTATGCACAAGCACACACCTGGGCACCGGTGAACTGCATATGTCAGTCCATATCTGGTTTAATAAAGTACAGTGATAGCAAATTTTCTTTTCCAAGTACACTGTCAAGCAGAAGTAGGCTTGTGTGAACAAATGGCCCATTAGAGTGTTATATTTGATCAAAAATACGTGGCTGGATATTTCCATTTTCTCTCTTTGACAGTACCTTTTGGAAACAGCCTAATAAGTTTAGCAACCTAATAAGCTTCCCGTATGAGCCCCCCCCCGTGCCCTTCGGTCAGCTGGAAAAATTTTACTTCAACAGCTGAAGACGAAGTCCAAACAGACCTCACAGAGGGCATTTTCTGTCATTGC